GTCCCTCTCCGCAGAGCTGCTCTCCAGCAGGTCAGCCCCAGCCTGTACTGGTGCCTGGGGTTGTTCCTCCCCAGGTGCAGGACCCTGCCCTTGCCCTTGTTAAACCAGACGGTCAAATCGCGCGTGGTGCTCAGCATCCCCCCTCACCCGTGCTCGGATGGGCTGCGGGGCTCGCTGCAGGAACAGCTAAAAGCCCACAGACTCGAAACCTCTTCCTGTGCCGAAAACCTCGCTGAAGGCAAACAAATCATGTCGCTGGGGGCTTGTGGTTGAAGGGCACGGGACGGGGTGGGGGGAGACGGAAGGAAACCCACAGCCCAGAAAGGCAGAAACCTCCCCAGCGAGGTGCGGGACTCGGCGTCTGGGAGGGCTCTGGGTTTCCTGGTGCCACAAACAACGTCCTCGTTGCGTTGACTGGCATCACAGCAACCTAACTTGGCTCCTTTTTTTCTTACTGTTTTTTTATATTCTCTTTATTTAAAGGTGGCAAACGGCCAAGAGGAGCAGATCTTCCCCTAGAGGCACAAATCACCGGAGAGACCGGCTTCTGGTAAAAAAAACCCCAAACCCTCGTGCTCCCCAGCAGGCAGGGGTGGCCGGGGAGGGGTCTCGTCCCCAAACCCTGGCTGTCCCCAGCACGGCTCGCTCTTGGGTCACCTCTGAGCGCAGGCACCTTGCTCAGGGCCAGGTTGCTTCTTGCTGTAGGTGCCAGCCTCTGTGCAAACACCCGTACGACCCCCGAGGTGGGCTTCAGCTGAACGTGCCCACCGCTTTTCCGTGTCCTCCCTAGAACGCCACCAGCCCCTCGTTTTAGGGCTGTGCCAGCCTTGCCCTGTCGCCCGTGGGGCTGGCGAGGGGCTCGCTGTGCCCTGCTATTGCAGGACAACCCCAAAAAACCCCATTTTTCGAGCTCGCAGGCAGCCCCCGGCCAGGCAGGGGCCAGGACAGCGCGGCCGTGCCTCCGCTGTAAAAACACTCGCTGCTTCTGACAGCATCGGCTGCCGGAG